TTTTTAAAAAGAAAGCTTATCTTTTTGAACTGATAAAATAAAAGAAGAACCTAGAGGAATTCGGCTGGTAGACTCATATTATTTGCGAGGTCAATATTTATCGGGTTGATAGCCTTCAAAGGTAGGTGTCTTGCTTCGGTGAAGTTGTGAACCCTCCCCGGGACATGCTCGGAGTGACCTCATCTTGGAGCTTCTAATATCAATGAGCTCCAAAGTAATTTCCGAGGATAGTGGACAGAAGCGGAGCGGACTGGCGAGAAAACGGTACTAATATATTGTCGATACCACACCGGCAGTTTCTATTGTATTTTGTGACTATCTACCGCACCGACAGGAAAATTGACGTAATAACGTTCGTTTTTTATATACTGGAGACTCTCACAATTGTTTTCCTGGCAATCTATACAAAAGCAATACTATGCATTCTAAAGACAAATATCACTGAGCCAGTTTTCAAGTTATTTTCACTCTATACGGTGTCTTTCCATTCTTTGTACCTTATACTATGTATACTATTGAGTCAATAGTATTGACAAACTAAAATCTAATACTGAAGTAGGATATCAATAGTATACAGTATGATACATGCTTTTGTGGAGAATACAAGCCCATCTCCGGCTATTTGAATTTCGCATTGTCCTGAATGGTGTGTACCTACTTCGTAAACGAAGCACTACCAGGAACTGTTGTGATAAATCCTGAACGAAAGCGTAGATATCGGCAGAGCTTGGAAAAAATAAAATTGATTAGTAATGCAGGGTCATTGTGTAGGTCCATTCCCTTGGAGTGATGGACACCATTGATGGAAAATGGAATCTTCAATATTCACTTAACTATGACGATTAGCATCAGATCCGGACTTCAGAGTTTCCTAGCATCACCAGTGATGACTGAGGCTACTTACCTAGCTCAACTGCCGTTGTCTGTGGCCTCTAGTCATTCTACTTCAACCACTTTACGTTGGTGACGGTGCCGGCGTTCTAGGAGGCGATGGCTTTGCTCGCAATGGTCTCGTTGGCAGTTTGCAATTTAGCAGATTCTGCCCAGCCATCATCCGCACTCTTTGCTCCTCCTGACCTAAATAAGACGGCGAACATGAATCAAGAGGCCTTCTCGAAGGGATAGCCCTCCAACAAGCAGTTAACGAGGACGATCTTCTCACCGAGTGTCGATGACAAATGGCGTTGCCGCATCTGCGCGAAACAGCGCGCTCAGACAACCGGCAAGGGCTACATGAACTTGGCGGACCATCTTCATCGTGCACACTCGAGCGTGATCATCAATTCTGCCCACCAACACATTCTTCGGTATGGGACTGTAACCCCTGTTGTGGATATCACCACCCTCGCAAAGAGCATTCATGATTGGATCGAGTGGATCGTGATGGAGAATCGCCCATTAAGCTTCTGTGAGAGCGAGATAACGCGTAAAAACACGTCTCTGCCAATCACTAACGCGAAGGCCCTAAAGAAGTACATTACGCTGCTTGTCGACGTCGTTCGTGCAGAGTTGAAGGACAAAGTGGCGGAGAAGCGACTCGGGTTCATTTTCGATGGCTGGTCAGAGAACGAATATCATTTCCTGGGGACGTTTGTCGTCGTGCAGCTTGACGATCCATCCGACGCAACCCAGCGTGAAATGTACTTGCTGTCGTTTAAGCACCACAAGACACGCCACTTCGGCGCAGACGCCACCATCAATCTGTTAGACGGCTTGCTTGACATGTACGCAATTGAAGCATCTCAGTTATGCTATCTAGTTGGTGATAACACGAGCGTCAACGTTTCTATCGGCAAGAAGGTGAACGTTCCATTCGTGGGTTGCGCTAGTAACAGTCTACACCTCACCGCCGAGAAGCACCTCCAGCCGTGCACTGAGCTGCTCGACAAGGTCTCGTCCGCGATGAAGTGTTTGAGGACGGGTAAGCAATGTGCAGTTCTCCGCGAGGAGGATTTACTCATACCGGCACTCCGTAATGCCACCCGTTGGTTCAGCACATTTGCCATGATCAAACGTTATTTGGAACTGGCACCACACCTCGACGACTCGGACGAAGACTTGGCACCTCTCCTTTTGTCCGCAGACGACAAAAACCGCCTACTCACCCTTCTGAATAACCTTACGAAATTTGAATCAGTCAGCAAGAAACTACAACAAGAACACAGCCTAACGCTTCGTCACGTGCGCGTGCTCTTCGACAAACTGCTTGCCGAGTTTCCGGATTCATGTGAGCGCCACCTCGCTTTAAATGCTCGCATTGTCGCCTTCCCACGCTTTTAGAACGGCGCCGTCAAGATTTTGAGCGGGCGCGAACAAGCTATGACATCTGATGAGCAAGCTGCCATGATACCATTCTTGCGCTACAACGAGACGCTGGAAGAGGTCCACAAGCGTTGCATCCGCGAATGACAGTTTCTCGTCGAATCGAGCGACGAGAAACTGTCATTCGCGGATGCAACGCTTGTGGACATTGACGTGATTGCCGTGGAGTCGCCGTACGTGGGTGTCGAGT